TTTATTTTGTATGTAGCTACAAAGATAAAAACTTATCTCAAATTCCTCTCCATTGAATTCTTGAAGTTTCTTTAAATCTCTTTCTTCACTTACAATACAAACTAAAAACATAAAATAAAAAAGAAAAGTGGGTGGTGACGGTGGCGATGGTGGCAGTGGTGGCGGCGGTGGCATATGTGGTGGTTGGTACTGGATTTGTTACATGGATGATTGATGGATTCCTCTCATGGATGATCTAAGTCTTCTTTTATAATTTTCCAACAGGTGTCTTGGTGTCACTTCAAAATGTGTCTCTATTCAATGAATCTTCTAGAAGTTGCCTCCTTTCAAAAGCCAATTGAATGAATTTTCATATCCATTAACCATTTCCCATGTTTTCACCAAGGGTTGCTTCAAACACCTCTTCAAAAATTCATCCAAATTCAATGACTCATCAAATAACTTCATCTGACGCTTAGGCTCGGCTCTCTATATTTAACTGGCGCATAAGCGCCTGTCCTGGGCACTTGGGCACCTTAGTTCGGTTTTGCACCTTCCTCATTTTTCCTCCAAATTTGATCATTTTTCACTTCTTTCACTATTTTTCATCTATTTTATTGTACCAGAAAGAAAAACACAAAAATACATTTCATTAAAGTGCAATATCTCAAAAATAGTGATATCAAAAAAATAAGTAAAAAAATGTATACATAAAGACTATATATTTTAGGTGTTTAAACTGCAAGAATAACATAATTAATATCCATCTGCCCTACAACACTCAAGCACTTTAAGACCCCTCTACACCTACCATAGAAATAGGCTAAGCACTAGACCTTAGATTCTCTCCTTACTCATGACAAGATCCATGATGAGCAGTGAATAAATCACCTCAAGGACAAGTCAGATGATTACCTCCTTACGGACAAAAAAAAAACTCACTTAATAAGTTTGTTGAAAGGCATGACGCGTTCAAAGTGACGACTTAAGTTAGAGTAAAAGGGTATGGATATTATAAGACTTGAGTCTGACATATAAAAATTAAACATAACCGTTCAATTACAACATTTTAAGAAAATTGATTTATATTACCAGGTTGACTGCCCGGGGTATTCAATATATATATATATATATATATATATATATATATAAGGGGAAACTACTGTATAGATCTATAAATTATAGAAATATTCCAGGAGGATATGCATAGATAAAAAACTTTTACAAACTCTAATGTAAGGGATGTCCAAAAAATCCCCTACTAAAAGTCAAGATAGGGAGGGAGGAGGAACAGTGTTAATTACATCAATAGCAGAAAGTGTGCCCATTATGGCTAACTAGTTAGCATGTCTATTCCCCTCCCTAGGAATAATGGAAAAAATTTCATTAATTTTAGAAGCCATGGAGAGAATTTTTTGAATCCAATGGTTAATATGCCAAGGGGGTCCACAAGTGCATGAAGGCTCTGAATGAGTAGTTGAGGCAATTGCTTCAACTTCAATGGCATCCTTTGCTATGGTAGGGGACTGAAAAAAGGAAGCACTTCCCAAGGTGTTCACTAAGTACACCCCCAATGCCAACTTCCTCTTGCAGGTAACTACCATCAGTGTTGAACTTAACTAACATTAGTTGAGGTTTCACCCAGTGTGTAAAGGAAGTTAGCTAGTTTATTGGCGACCGAGATATACAAGAGTTGAATAGATATTAAGAATCTTTATTAAATTTATAAGTTTCGTGATGAAGGCCAGACAATGGCTTGCAAATATTTATGGAGGCAGGTATTTCCTTCAAACTTGAATTGGTTCCTTGTCATCCAAATAAACTATGCAATAATACCTGCTATGGATGGAAGAGAAGCAGCTTCCCAATCAGTCCAGCATTCAAAGAAGTTCTGCTAGCTGAGGTTAAGAGGTTGAATAGAAAGGTGGTTCATCACAAACATCCACACCTTTTGAGAAAAAAGGCAAGCAAAGAAATGGTGATCCGCAGATTCCTCCTTATATAT